AAGCCAATGACATTTTAAGAGCTCCAAATCCACCTTACAGACTGTAAGCAACGAAGATGAAAGGCGATCTAGCAATAAAAGCTGTAATGAGTTAATTTGATCTGCACATGTGGCTAAGTTCTCCCCAGAAACTTGTACTTTTAAAGATGGCCCAGACTGGAGTTTTTGACAAGGCACTTGCATTTCAAAAGTCCCAGGAACCGGGGAGCACTGCAGAAGGCACTGCTATAAACCCAAACCCTGCAGTCCTCCTCCATCCTGTCTGGTGACCTAATGCCTACCTCCCCATCCTACTTCAATGCTCGCCAGCACACGGCGTGGTGTGAGCACCAGGGCCAGGCTGTGGCCCAGGCAAGGGCATTCCCTCCCAGGCTCCCCGAACATTCTATTGAAGACCCGAATTCCCCCGGGGCCCCACCAGGTCACTGCCAGGAGCTGGACAGAGTCAGGTCTGTGTGGGCCGCATTGAGGGGATGGGGGACACTCTGCTCACGCATGGCTGGGCGCATCTTGGCAGGGACACCAAGAATGGCAGACCAACCAGCTGGGCCAGGATCCGAAGGACTTGGCGTCCCCCTGCCCCAGCCTCGGGCAGGAGGAGGAAAAGGCAGGGAAGTTTGAGTAGATCTCCGGCAACAGAAACCCTGACAAGGGAACAGGCCGGTTGGGCTGTGTGTAGTGGGTCCAAGTGTGCTGCTTGTGGGGCGAACTCCCAGAGGCGTGAAACCGCTGGTCACTTCCCTCCTCTTGTGCCCCAGTTCTCCCCCCGGGTGTCTAAACAGCCGTGAGTACCCAGAGCGTGGAGGGACTAGCTGTTATGTGCACTCCCTGGACAGGTCAGAGTTTAATTTTACAGTTGTATTCTGGAGTTCCTAGGAGGCCCCTGCACGTCTTAGGGGTCAACCCCAGACACCTCTGCATGGTCCTTACCTAAGGACATTGGAGTTTCTCGAACCAGAGGGAGGAACTTGCCTCTTTGATCTTCGGAGCCTGGGTAGGGACCAGGCACTCGTCATTGGTCGGACTTTCTCTTGCAACTGGCAGGAAGCCTGCTGCTTTCTGACCCGTCCGACAGCCCACTCATCCCTCCACGGGCCTTTTCACGTGGCGGCCACCCTAACGGTTTTTAAGTGGCTGACCTTAGCCTGGTTTCAGATGGGCCAAAGGCCAAAGACCTTATTTGGAAAGTGAAAGAGAAAAATGCCCGCTAGAGAGGGCAGCCTGATTGTGGCGGGCGGGCACCCAGCAGGCCTCCGAATCACAGGCTCAAGCCCCAAAGCTGGAAACTGGAACGGGGGTGGGGTGGTGGGGTGGGCGGTGGGGGTTCCTCCTGAGGTCGGTCCTGCGACACCGAAGAATAAGCTCCACAGACCAGATGATTTGAGCAAAAGTGTGGGAAGTTTACTGCAAGCAGATGCAGACGCCCCGCCTGGGGACAGCCCCTGATGGGCTGCCCGTGAGGCCTTGTCGTCCAGGGAATGTATTTGCTACAAGCCCGTTCCTCTCTCTGTCAGTGTTGTCACCTCATTGTGCTTGCCCAGCACGGACCTGAACTCCCCGCTTCTATGTGCCCTTTCCTGTTCCTATGCGTTCGTCCACCTTGTTGCTGCGGGCCCTTCCTGGGCCCAGGCCTCCTGCTCTGAGTCCAGAAACATCCTTTTATTTCTGCGTGGTTGGGTGCTGTAATTAGGCCCTGTCTGCCTGCCTGTGTCTCACCCGCCTTTGTTTCCCACTGGACCCCGCCCTGTCTGCCTGCCTGTCAACTTAACCCTTTCACATGGATCCAGATAATAGGGTGGCGAAGGCCTGGGGTGGGGTGGGAACTGGGTGGAGGGAGCAAGGGGGAAAAAGGGGGGGGACATCTGTAATATTCTCAACAATAAAGATTAAAAAATTTGTGACGATTGTTACTAAAGGGAGTTTTTAAGGAAGTTTGTTAAAAATTAAACTTTGAAAATACACATACATTTTGCATTAGCTTAAAAATTAGCAATTTATTTTAGTTGAAAGCCACCCAAAAGAGAACCCAAAGAGCAATGGTACTATTTACTTTAAAGAAGCACAAAAGACATAAACGTACCCAGTACAATTTATTGTGCATCAGGAAGCTTAACTTAAAACCAACAGCATAGTAAAAAGATATGTCATTTTTGTTCATAGCAGAGCAGGTTTCAAAATATATTTTCTTTTAAATGTATTCAAGCAGTACACAATAATCCTTTATAAAAGTTACATATATATTTTTTGTCAATACCTTCATTACATTTATAAATACTTGATTTGCACAGCACTCCATCAAAAAAATTTAAAACCCCTTAAAAATATCTACATACATTTCATATCTATAAACCCTTCGCAGGCACAAGGTAGGCCTAGTGAAGGGTTCATTTACTGTTGCAACAAAATGCATGGAAATCTAGTTTTCTTTGTCTGTAAAACATTTTGAAAAATTAGCGAGACACTTACTGTGAAACTGAGTTTCCTAAACCACCCTTTGCAGAAAGGAATTTGATGTGCATATTCCCATGAGAGTCAAATGTCAGACACACAGGTGGAAAGAGAGACCTACTGAACACAGACGCGTGCACACAGGCAGTTAAGGCAGAAGGTGATGACCGAGAACCGAGAGGACGGTGTGGGAGGGACACAGTCCCGCACCGAGTCTGCACCGGGAACTCGCGGCACCGCCCCTCCTCCGTTCACCGAGGAGTGTTGCCATGTGGGCACTTCCACAGAAGCACCGGATGCCTGCTGTGTGCTTCTGTAACATCCCCTCGGATCAGACCAAGACACTCGGTCAAGGAATCTGAATTGCTATTTCTTCAAGATTTAAACCTGTAGGAAACATTTTCTTCACTGGTAAAGGGCATCACGGATCAGTATCACGGGTACCCAGGTGTGGATGCTGGATTTCATTCTAGCCAAGAATATTAAGCAGAGACAAGGAAAGGGGAATAAGACCCAGCTTTGTTTGACCTTTGAACAAAGGCAATAGGTCCCCAATGCTGAGTGGCTCTAGGAGCACCCACTCCTCCACACCTGTGGGCCACGTGCACTTTTCAGGGAAGCAGGAAAGAGGAAGACAAGAAGGGATTCTTCCCCTCGAATCTGGCGTGGATGGCAGTCCCTCCCCAGCCCTGCAGCAACTCTGGAACAGGACCTGGGGCTGCTGCCCCTCGTCCCTGGAGGTGAGGACGGAAAGCCACCCTTTCTCAGAGACGTGACCTTTCCCATTTGAATTTCAAAGCGGAACTCCAAATAACTGTGAGAGTTGCTTACTGTTTGCAGCAACGTATTTCAAATCCTAACTTGTTCTAATGTACAAACGGAAAGAAAAAGAATGGAAGAAAAGGAACAGAAGCGGGGGAGGGGGGGAAGGGGGTTATCATCAAACTTGGCCCTGAAGGATGCCACTGCATCTCCCCTCCAGCACCAGAAAGTCTCCCCGCGGTGTGGCTCCAGGCGACTTCAGAGAGACAGCGCCTGCAGGTCTCCCTTCTGCCCTCACAGCTCGGTGCACTGGCTCCCTGGCTCCTCGAAGGCAGCGAGGCCCCAGATGCTGCCATTCGGCAGCAGGGGCTCAACGTCCTCGTCACTGCCCTGCTCCGGGGTGTCGGTCACAGTGCCGCTGACGCTGTTGCTGTGTTTCTTAGCCCCATGACTGCATTCAGGGATGAACAAGGCAACCAGGAAAGATATAAGAACTATACATGCCCCAAATAAAAACGGCGGGCCTGGGACGAGGGCTCCCTGGTGGTGTGGAAACAAACGGAGATGAAGAATTGGTTAGTCTTTTCAATGCAAAATTAGCTCTGGGTGACCCAAACCCCACACCACCTCCAAGAGAATCACTTTCACATGAGCCAGGGCACACCCGCCCCAGCCTGGAGCCGCTGGCCCACAGGGGCAGCCTCTCACCGCTGTCATCACTTCTCTGCAGCTGAACCGAAGCCTGTGAGTAACAGTTGTTTATCTCTAATCTTACCCTCTGATACCAGATCGTGCATCCTGTACATGAACATTCGTTCCAATTCTGTATAGAAATCTCTATTAAATATTACTTAGAAGGAGAGAAAAATACTAAATAAAGATTAAGAAAAAAACTCTAGTTCAATTTCTAGCTGGAATTGTAGGTCATTTTATATTTTATTTGGCTTGGGCTTTTTCAGAAGACAGGGTTCTGATCAGAGTTACTGTGTAGGTGAGAACAGAATTGAGAGAAATCTTTTATATGAGACATCAAATCAACGAAACCGCCCCTCCCCAGGCCCAGAGCACTGAGCACAGCCTCCCTACTGCTAGGTCCAACAGTCTTATTGTGCAAACAAAAATGTGCAAGGACACGCTCCACATTTAGGGTCAGAGGGTTTGCTACAGTCAGACATATTCATGGTAACAACACTAGACTTATCACCGAATTACCTGCAAAGCAGCATTATTAGAATTCAGTTTTGGTTCCAACTCAGTCAGCTCTACATGGAACATGTAGAATATGAAGCCATACAGCGCTGGCCCCAGGCCATTACACAGTCCTCGGATGCCAGTTATGATGCCCTGGGCAACGCCTAAGTGAGAACAAAAAGAAGGCATGTCAAGACTGGGGACTCGACCGAGCTCTCGTACCAACTGTGAGCACTGAGCCAGCGGACTGGGGCGTCCGTGCTGAGGAGGCAGGGGGATTCATTCATTTCACAAATGCGTTCTTGGTTTTACTGTGTCCTTTTAATGTTGTCACCTGTGCCCTAGCGTCCATGAGATGGCATGACAGTGATGTTTCTGAAATGCCACAGGGACTGAATCCTCCTCACAACAGCTAGATAGTCCCATAAATGGGGAATAACAAAATGAAAAACTTTAATATTCTCCATTTGCAGACAATTTCCACTTTTCTGTGGACTAAGAGTTTCCTGCTCTACTTATTTAATGTGCTTTTACAATTAAATCTGCTCTCTGCCTCCTGCAGCCCCGTGCATGTGAGTCCTCAACAGTCCTGATGCTGTGGGGGCCCAGCGTCCAGACAGACTGCTCCTCAAGGTGACCCCCATTTCTGATGCATCTTCCTGTAGACCTGCACTGAAATACCCCACAGGTGCCAATTTCTAGATACCTCTGGTTTCTAACAAGAAAAGAAAAAATTAGCTTGAATTGTATGACATGCATGTTACTGTAGGTCAAAAATGGTCAAAGATTATTCAACCCAATGCAATGTGCTGTAATAGTTTTCTACGCGGACATTTAGAAACATCTGTACTAACACATACGAGCATAAAAAAAGCCAAAGAGGATTTAGTCCATGAAATACAGGCGCGCACTTGTCAGGCACTGAGGAGCGCCCGCCCCACAGGGCTGCCTTCTCCCGGGATGGCGCCTCCACGGCTGTGCAGCCGGCGGGGGCCATGGCAGGGGACACACAGAACCTGTGGCCACTATTTTAAAATATGGCTATAGCCGAAACCGGTTTGGCTCAGTGGATAGAGCGTCGGCCTGCGGACTGAAGGGTCCCAGGTTCGATTCCGGTCAAGGGCATGCACTTGGGTTGCGGGCACATCCCCAGTGGGAGATGTGCAGGAGGCAGCTGATCGATGTCTCTCTCTCATCGATGTTTCTGACTCTCTATCTCTCTCCCTTCCTCTCTGTAAAAAGACAATAAAATATATTTAAAAAAAAATAAAATAAAATGTGGCTATGAACTAGATGGCTAATTTCTGATGAGGAAAAATGGGTGCAATAAGCAAACAATCTTTTCCAATAAAGTTTTTATTGAAACTTTTTAAAGGGCTCTCCCTTTAAAAATTTACAATTTTTTTCAAATTGACTACTTCCTGACTACAGTGAAGTGAGTCATTGAAAGAGGAAGTGGAAAAGGATGAACTCTGGTCGTGGGAGATGCCTGACGGTGAACCAGAGACACTAGAAGGGTGGGGTCTACACGCTTCTCTCCACACAGCAGTCCCCACGCTGCCTCTCACTAGGCATCCGATACCAGCAACCACACAGATCTGCTCTTCATCCTCTCGGAGAATCACTTCCTACATTCAGCTCATGGCCTCCGAGAGAGTCCAAATTAAAGAAGTCCCAGTGATGACAGTGAGTAAATAACAAGCTCGCTATCTGACTGACCAGACTGTCATTATTTAACAGACATCTGTTATCGTTCAGTTAATTTTTATGGCATCACAATAAAGAGGAGTCAAAACCAAAAAGAAAAAATAGTTCAATTTCTATTTCTTAGTGTTCTGAACTGCCGAGTCCACATTTTAAAACCATGAGTATGATTTCAGAGCAGGAAGGAAAGCAAACAGGTGCGGTCACTGAGGGATCACACGGGTGAAGAGAGGCTCAGAGCTGCTCAGGTTGTCGGCAGGTCCGTCTCCAGTGACGGAGGGAAACAGAGGCGACAGTGCTCTCACCTTGCTGATCTGACTCTGCGTTCTGCGAGACCAGGGCGCTGACCGCCGGGAAGGTGATGCTGGACACGGCGGCCACGGCCCCTGCGGCCCACACCATCCTGCAGGGACAGGGAGCGTCAGGCGACAGGCTGCGGCTCGCTGTCAGAGCGCAGTCAGGGGTGGAGCATGAGATGCTCTGTTTCCTCAGGTTACGTTGTATTCGTCTTTCCTCTTTACTAATGGATTTTTTTTTTTTTAACCTGGGAAGTTATTCTTCACTTCACAGGCTGGGAAAGCTTCATTTACTTATTTTACCTCTTTCAAAATCTGTTCTCCTTGATTTCCCTTTTACCACCTTTAGATGTACGCTCAGTGAAGTTCGAAAGGATTTATTTCTACAAATGCCACTTTCTCTGTCTCAGAGGCTGGCCTGCACACTACCTTTGAGCTGCTCACTTTGCTACCCACGGGCAGAGCAAGCCCTGGTGCACAGGACGACAGCTGCAGACTCCCAGACCTGCTTCCTTTGGACTAAGCCTGTCACACTCAAAGCTGACACGGGCCAAGTAGACGAGGCATACGGCCCGCGGGCCCACGTTGGACATGCTTCCTTTAGACTCTTGTCCTTTCCTCAATGAAAGAAACGTAAGTGCGAATCAATATGAATCATCTGTGTGAGGAAGGTGAGCCCCCAACTCGGCTTAACCCCGCGGCTTCCTTGGGGGCGGCTGACATGCACGTCCTTAAAGGAAAGACCCTTCAGGTCGACAAAGGCCTTTTCCTGCACGAGCTTGACTGACTGAGCTACAGAACCCAAGTACATCGGACAGAAATCTTAAAGAACAAGAACCTTCTCCTGACCTGCAAAGCATTTCTCATTTCGGTAAATTTTGTCGTGCATGCAGAATGAGGAGTAACTAAAATTTAAAGAGACAGGACCTCTGGATTTGGTAGCCAGGCACTGGGGACACCAGCCACTGAACAGAACAGCACCGGGATTCTTGTCACTTCTCCTGGCTCAGGGCTGATTCTGACCTTCCTGTTATGGGAGTTAGAATATGCCAGCAGGAGTACCTGCCTCAGGAGACACTTGATTTTGGAAGAGATCTTAGGATTAATCTAACTCAAGTTCTTACGTTATAAAGTCACTCAGCTAATTACAGCAATTAGCCCTGCTATCATTTTTCCTTGTCTTTTTGTTTTGGACTACGCTGTGCTGGTGGGAATCGGGGGAGGAAAGGTGGCATTTGTCCCTAAAACTGACAAATGTGTTTGTTTAAAATATTTGGAGGAGTTGGAGGAGGAAGCCCACACATTTAATTAACAACTCACTGAAAGCCACGAAGGTGAAGACAGTTTTTACAAATAATCCTGTCACCTCGCTCAGCCTTCCCCAAATTAAGTCCAAACAGGTTTTGAAATGTTGAGTATACCAAACGGGTAAATAGCCTGCTGCCTTCACACCACTGTCAGCTCAAGCTCCCCTAGGAGACGGTCTTCCTCTAGTCCGTGAGGACCCAGGGGAAGGCTTACCAGGCCTGGGATCCGAGCCCATACCAGGCCAGCTGGAGCGCCTGGAAGCCCAGGCCCAGGAGCACGGTGTTCTTCTTCCCCAGCGACCTCATCAAGGCGGTGAGCAGGGCTGTCTGCAAAGACAAGGAGAGCCCTGAGAAGCACGCGGAGGGAGCCGGGAACGGGGACCACGCTGTGCTGGCGCAGGGCCTTCGGCCTCCTCCCCAACGCTATCGGGTGCTTTGCGAGCACTTCCCCAGGAAGGTTACAGAGCCATTCACCAGCTGTCGTGACTGAGAGGGACAAGGCCTCAGTCTTTTCTGAGAAACGCCAATCACTTAATCACCCAGTGACTAGCAGGCTCTGCTGAGTATTTACAGAATATGTGGAATTCTGCTGGAGGCTAGCAGCTTTGCAAAGTTGGACTGATCTAAGCTTGATTTTAACAAATACATCCTCTGTTAGAAACCAGTAGAGACAGTCTGGGCTGATGACTAACCAGAGTTCACATAAACCCCACAAATTATGAGCAACTGAGAGTGTAACGCAGTTTACACTTGCTGATACCACTGGACAAAAGGAGTAAGAGGTCTTGGCCTTGGTGCGCTCCTGTGAGCCTTGCTCGTCCTAACACGGAGGCAAGGCAGCCCTGTAGCCTCTTCTACGCTCCCAGCGCTGTGCCAGGGAGCAGCCCCCGGAGCCCAGGACACAGGGAAGGCCTGTCGGGTGATGCGAGGCACGTGAGCCCAGCCTTGTGGGCCTGTATCTATAACAGATGGAGAAATCGAGGCTCTTTACTCATTATACATGTTCCAACCCACTCATCTGCCACATTTCTTTGAGCAGAGGTTGGAACAGCTGCCGATTTTCATTTCTGCTTTTCACTTGTCCACATTAAAATAACACTGAAACATTCTCCTGGTGAAGTACATTTCTGGGTATCTGGAGCCCATGTCAGTTTCCTGGGTCTGCTATTGTACCATAGATATACAAGATGTCACTGCCATGGCAGGGGCAACGAAGGCAGGCGTGCGGGAGACATCTGAGAACGCTTCCTACAGCTTCCTGTGAACCTACGGTTATTTCAGAATAAAAATGAGAAAAATGACACTCACCTGAGCCACAATAGACAGAATTCCTAGCACAGCTATGAACTCTGCAATTTTAACAGATCCAAAACCTATGATCTGTGAAATAGAGGGAGAGGGGGAGAAACACTATTGTTAACATAGATATTATAAAAATAAGAAATGTTATGTTTTAGTAAGGCTATAGGACAAAACAGTTGGAAAAAGTTCATAAAACCTTGATGATGGCAAATTAAGGCAGTGCTGAAAGTTGAACCTATTTAACCAGAAAATTACATCTAAATCTGATAAAAAACCATTACAAGCAAGCATAACTTAACAAATATTTTAAAGATATTTTCTATTACAGGCCTATCTGTCGTTTCATAGTCCTTCCCATCCCCAACCCACAAAAAAAGAAATGTTATCAAGCATCAGAGAAACTATAAAGAAAATAATCTGACTTTTGATGCAGAATTTGGAATTTACTCATTAGCAAGTTCAGTGGCTCTCAGCGATGGCTGCACATTGAAATCATGTGGGGCTGAGAGAAGGGGGAAGGGGAGGGAGCAGTGAGACTCTGCAACCCGGAGACCAAATGGGCAGAGCTCAGGCCTCGACACAGGCATGTTCCCAAAGCTCCTGATGAGCAGCCTCTTTACCTAACAGCTCTGATCTGCCAAAACTATTCGTTTAAATACCAAGTTTTTAAAAAATATATTTTTATTGATTTCCTAGAGAAGGAAGACGGCAAGAGATAGAAACAATAGAAACACCAATGATAAGAGAGAATCATTGCTCAGCGGCCTCCTGCACGCTCCCTACTGGGGATCCGGGCATGTGCGCAGTCCAGGCATGTGTCCTTGACCAGAGTCGAACCTGGCACCCTTCAGTCCACAGGCCAAACCATTGAGCCAAACCAGCTAGGGCTTAAATATCAAGTTTTTAAAGTTAAATTATTTTCCCCTCTTAAAATTCTCTGAAATTCATAAAAAGGAATTAAAAAATTATTAATAGAGAATAAAAAGATAATAGAAAACTAAGAGCTAGTTCTTTGAAAAGATAAAAAAAATCGACAAACTTTTAGTTAGAATCACACAAAAAAGAGAGATGTCTCAAGTAAATAAAATCAGAAATGAGATTTTACAACTGATACCACACGAAGATTCACAAGAAACTACTATGAACAAAATTATATGCCAACAAAGTGGTCAACCTAGGAGACATGGATAAATTCCTAGAACCATAACAGAATCACAATGAAATAAAAAACCCAAACAGACTGATGACTAGCAAGGAGTCTCAACCAGTAATCAAAACCCCCGCAACAAAAGTCTAGGACCAAATGGTTCACTGGTGAATCCGTTAAACATTCAAAGAAGAATTAACACAAATCTTTCTCACACCCTTCCAAAAAACAGTAGACAGAAGAACTCTCTCAAACACACTTTATTTTTAAAATATTTTTATTGATTTCAGAGAGGAAGGGAGAGGAAGAGAGAAACATCAATGATGAGAGGGAATCATTGATTGGCTGCCTCCTGCACGTTGGACTGAGCCCGCAACCCAGGCATGTGCCCTTGACTGGAATCAAACCTGGCATCCTTCCGTTCCACAGGCCGATGTTCTATCCACTGAGCCAAACCACCTAGGACTCTCAAACACATTTTACAGGAGGGCCAGCATTATCCTGATACCAAAACCAGACAAAAATGCCACACACAAAAATAAAAATAAAATTACAGGCTAATATCTGTGATGAACATGATGTAGAACTTTTCAACAAAGTAGTAGCAAACTGAATTTAATAGTACATTTAAAAAAATCATGCATTATTATCAAGCGAAATTTATACCAGAGAGACAAGAATAGTTCAACATCTGCAAATCAGTTGATGTGATATGAAGGATAAAAATCTTAAGACATTTCAATAAATGCAAAACATTTGACAAAATTCAAAACCCATTTATGATAAAAAAACAAAATGGGTATGGAAGAAAAGTGCCCCAATATAATAAAGGCATCATATGATAAGACCACACATACACAGCTTTTTCTGTCAGATGAGGAATAAGACAACGATGTCCACTCTAGCCATTTGATACTAGAGGCCCAGTGCACGAAATTCGTGCACTCGAGGGCGGATGGGGTCCCTGAGCCCAGCCTGTGCCCTTTCACAGTCCAGGAGCCCTTGGGGGATGTCCGACTCAGGGCTTAGGCCAGTCAATCAGACATCCTTAGTGCTGCCGCGGAGGCAGGAGAGGCTGCTGCCACTGTTGCTGTGCTTGCTAGCTGTGAGCCCGGCTTTTGGCTGGGCAGCATTCTCTCTGTGGGAGAGCACTGACCACCAGGGGGCAGCTCCTGCAGTGAGCATCTGCCGCCTGGTAGTCAGTGTGCATCATAGCAACCAGTCATTCTGTCGTCCAGTCAATTTGCATATTAGCCTTTTATTATATAGGCCTAGAGGCCTGGTGCATGAAATTCGTGCATGGGTAGGGTTCCTAGGCCTGGCTGGCGAACAGGCTGGCCAGGGCCTTCCTTCCACTGGCTGCTGGCTGCCAGCTGGGTCTCTTCCTCCCCCCGGCTACTGGCCCGGGCCTTCCTTCGTTCTGCCCCCGGTGGTCAGTACACATCATAGCAAGAAGTCAAATTCCTGGTCGGCCGAACTCCCAGTGGACAATTTGCATAGTAGCCTTTTATTATATAGGATAGTACTGGTAGTCCTGTCAGCAGAAAAGAGGCAAGAAAAATAAATAAAATGCATCCACATTGGAAATGAAGAAGTAAAACTGCCTGGCTGGCGTGGCTCAGTGGTTGAGCGTTGACCTATGAACCAGAGGTCATTGTTCGATTCGCGATCAGGGCACATGCCTGGGTTTCGGGCTTGATCTCCAGTGTGTGGTGTGCAGGAGGCAGCCGATCAAGGAGTCTCTCACATTATTGATGTTTTTATCTCGCTCTCCCTCTTCCTCTCTGAAATCAATAAAAATATATATTAAAAAAAGAAGTAAAACTGTCACTATTTGCAGATGACATGATAGTATACTTAGAAAACCCTACAGACTCTATCAAAAAAACTGTTGTAACCCATACACAAATTCAATAAAGTTGCAGAATACAAAGCCAATATAAAAAATCTGTTGCCTTCCTATACATTAACAACAAAGTATCAAAAAGAGAATGAAGAAAACAATCCCATTTACAATCACAACAAAAAGAATAAAATACCGCCCTAGCTCATCTGGCTCAGTCGACAGAGTGTCATCCTGCGGACTGAAGGGTCCCGAGCTCGATTCCGGTCAAGGGCACATGCCAGGGTTGCAGGCAGACAGGGGCATGCAGGAGGCAGCCAATCAATGATTCTCTCTCATCATTGATGTTTTCATCTCTCTCTCCCTCTCCTTTCCTCTCTGAAATCAATAAAAATATATTTTTTAAAAAAAGAGAATAAAATACCTAGGAACAGTCTCAACAAAGGAGGTGAAGATTGTACTATGTACTCTGAAAATTACAAGACATTATTGAAGGAAACTGAAGACAAAGCTATTCTGTGTTCATGGATTGGAAGAATTAACATTGTTAAAATGGCCAAATTAACTAAAGCAGTATACAGATTTAATGCAATCCTTACCAAAGTCCCAATGGCATTTTTTCAGAAATAGCACAAAAAAAATCCTCAAATTTATATAGAGCCACAAATGACCCCAATAGTCAAAGCAAGCCCGGGGAAAAAGAAAGCCCAAGATATCACACTCCCTGACTTCAAACTACACTATAAAGCTGTCGTAATAAAATCAGTGTGGTACTGGCAGAAAAACACACACAGAAATTAATGGAACACAACAGAAAGCCCAGAGGTAAACCCACACCTATATGGGCAACTACTTTTTGGCAAAGGAGCAAAAACACACACTGGAGAAAGGACAATCAGTCTCTTCAATAAATAGTGCTAGGAAAATTGGAATGCCACACGCAACAGAATGAAACTAGACTGCTGACACCATACACAAGTTAACTCAAAATAGACGAAGGACTTGAACGTAGGACCTGCAACAATAAAATACATGGCAGAAAACAAACACAGGCACTAAACTTATGGACCTTGGGATTTTGTGAACTTGACCCTAAAGGCAAGAGAAGCTAAAAAAAAAAAAAAGAAATGAATAGGACTATTTCAATCTTAAAAGCTTCTGTACAGCAAAAGAAACCATCAACAAAACAAAAAGGAAACCAACCGAAAGAAAGAAGATATTTGCAAATGATACCTCTGATAAGGTGCTAATTTTAAAAGTATTTAAAGAACTCATAAGTACAACTCAAAAACAAAAAAATTTTCAATTAAAAGATGGTCAAAAGATCTGAATAGATACTTTTCCACAGAAAACATACAGATGGCCAACAGGTACATGAAAAAATGCTTAATACCGCAAATTCATATCAGCACCATAATGAGATACCGTCTCAAAACTATCAGAATAGCTTTTATCAAAAAGAAAAGAATTAAGCCCTGGCTGGTGTGGGTCAGTCGGCTAGAGCGCATCCCATATATAGAAAGGCTGCAGGTTTGATTACTGGTCAGGGGACATATTGGAAGGCAACCAATTAATGCTCTCTCTCTCTTGCCCCCTTCCCCTCTCTCTAAAATCAATAAGCATATGCTTGGGTGAGGATTTTTTTTAAAAAAGAAAAGAATTGACAAGCGTCAGGGATGATGTTAAAAAAAGAACACTTGGAAATATAGATTCAGAAGAAGATGGCGGCGATATAGGCAGACGCGTCCCAGGTCGTGTCCCGGAGCAAATGGAGTGAGCAGCTGAAACTAATAGCACCCACCCCGAGTTGGCGAAAGGGCTCGGCTGGTGAGACGGTTTGCAGCCGGGAAGAGCAGAACTCCCCTGGAAAGGTAAAAGGAACCCAGGGATTTGGGCAGGAAAGTTTGCCGGACCTCTGAGCCCAGACGGTCGGAGGGAGACCGCGTGGCAGACAGCTGCGTCCCTTGGGACAGGCACAGCCCCTGACTGGGGAAAGGCGATCCGCGGGATTCCTGGTGCCGGGGGATTTGAGCGCT